CACTGTCGCCAAAGTGCTTGCTCATAGGGGGTCATATGATTGTTGGGTTTTTCTCTGTATCTATGAAGCGCCTTGAGGCGACTTTTGTTGTGATTTGGCGCTATATAAATAAAATTGAATTGAATTTTACATAATACAATATTGGTAAAGCTTTAGCTGTTGGATTACAGCCTCACTCCTGGCTCTAGGATACTTTGTTATACTGTTACTGAAAAACAAGCCCAAATCATCATCATCTCGCCACCATCGTGCTTGACAGTTGGTAAGAGGTGTTTGTATGAACATGCTTTGTTTTTGTCAGAAGTGGTGTTGTGCATGATGGGCAAACATCCACACTCTAGTCTTACTCTTATTTTTATTTTTATTCTTATTCTTATTCTCAGTCTCCACTATACTGAAAGGACATGCAAACCTAAGCCAGGCTGCTGTGTTCTTTTTAGAGAGAAAGGTTTTCACCCCTTACAAGCCACTCTTCATAAGTTTTGGAGGTTTTTTTTGTAATTGTACTTTCAAGAACTTCATTTACAAGAAATTCACATTTTTTTGTTTTATTCTTTTTTTATATGTTCAGTGCTGTGTTTGCCATGTGCTCTACTAGTGCAAATTGATTAAATAAAAAAAGAAACAAAAATACAGCTTTAAATTCATAGGAAAATGATGGACCGTAGGAAACAAAAAGATGGAATACAAATCAAATATTTGAGCACCAGACTGTCATAAGTGCCTTTAATGGCAACTTTTGTACTCATGCTTATTTGGATTTACCTTAAACTACTTTATATAGCTCTTAAAATGTCTGAGTTGTCTGTGTCACACACTGTATTGCCTCACTTTCCTCACAGAAATTCATTATCCAATGGTAAGTAATAACCGAATATCAGAATATCATGGAATGAGTAACTGTATTTGGTTGTAGTAACGCTAGTGGTTTCCTATTTAAATGATGTTTAAATCTGTCAGCTCCAGTCTGGCAAGAGTTTTTTAAATAGTGTCACATTGGCATAATCAACATTTACACTGCGTGATAGCCCTCCCCAACTTTCTATCACACACCCAACGCACAATCAGTGCATCTCATCCATCTTTTTTTCCAAACCTCAATTTCCTGCTCGTGTATGTGAGACATCTTTATGGGAACCAAATCGACTGTTCATTAATGAGGGAAGCTGTATCAAGAACAAACATCTTTAATTAACACATCCCCAGTACTTCCTGTCTTTGATCTCCTCGTTTGATTTATGCCTCTGCAAGAAAAGGTTGGGGTGGTGGAGGAGTACACAAGAAGTTTGAAAAGGACGAGGAGAAAATAATGAAACTGTGGAGCCTCTGTTGGTCAGGAAGTCCTACAGCATTAGGACCTTTCCCCTGTGTGTCAGGGGGGCAGCTCAATTACTAGGCAGCACAGCTATCTCTTTAATAGCCTGATAAGACAATAATCCAAAATCCATACAGTTTTAATGACTTTCTGTCTAATTAAGGACTGTTTTATAAAATATGGACACATCAGAGGCCTTCCCATTGTTCAGTAAGCTACTGTTGGTGCTATCAGCGTGACTAGTTCAGAACAAGTAAAAGGCTTTTAAAAGTATAATTATATGTATTTTACTTAGAGACTTACTGTGCATAAATCATCAAGTAATCCATCTGTGATTCTAATGTTCAATGTCAGAGGGGTTATGATGAACTGAGGGAGAGAAATCACTTTTACCTCAGTTCTCACACTGGATTTAAACACAGAGTTAGGAATGGAGAGAACTCTTAAAAAATCTCAGTAGTAGCATTAGCACTACACTACAGACTGAATTTAAAATCGACCTGCATGAATATTTGAGGTTTTCAAAGCAAAATCAGGACCACATCTGTCATCTGTCTGTATGACCAGGAATGTGTGTGTCCCTTTGTAGAGATGCCAAGTGTTTGTTAGTCTTTAGTCCCCTCTAGTGTTAGCCCATAATATTGTCCTGTTTTCAATTAGCTTTACAGTTCATATTTCTACTGTATCTATAAAATAATGTATACGCTTACCTTGCTCTGAATCATGAATGACTCTTTATACTACAAACAAAATTAAATTACCTTTTTAATATTACATTTAGTTTGACATTAGTAAATAATTGGTACCATCTAGACATCACACTCAAGTATTCCTTTAGCTTCGTTTCAGTTCAGTTTTATTGAAACAGCTTCAACAAAAAAAAACAAACCCAAAAAACTAAATTAGGCATGAATAACAACAATACGAATTATTGTCTTCTTTATCCTTCATTTCTTTATATTTCTAACTTTAGAAATATTCTCTTTAATTAATATACAGACCAGATGGGACAGTTGTAAAACATATTGTAAAATATAACAAAAGATTTACTTTCCAGAGACTAACATGGTCAGTCATACTGTCTAGGTGATTCTAGACACTAGAAGATAAAAAGTGAACCTGTTTTCCATTTTAATGTGTACTTTTGGAATATGCCATTACACCATTGATGCCACAGCCGTTTGCTTTCCCATGCTCACTTGATAATTCATGCTGGTTCAAATGGACATGTGATTATGCTGTGATGTAAGTCTTCACAAGATCTTGCCCTCTCTTACATCAGGCACTTTATTTTAAGATTTCATGCTGCACTGTAATGGGAATGATCTGTATTTAATAAATCATTGAGGACATTGGGTGAGAGGTAACAGTGTAGGTTTTCATACGTATCTGTCATACATATCTGATATGATGACATTATGATATGATTTATTGTCATTATTTACAGAATGAATCATTCTTACACTCCTTTTCTGACAAAAGTATTTTGAGAAAATATCTTGTCTGTAAGCTGTTGCCCAAAATAAGTGTGGTGCACACTATTAGCAAGAATACATTTATAAATGTATTCCTTTTAACTGCTCTGAACCACTGTGACTCATTTTATCCAGCAATAAAACTGTCAATCCATGTGACATTGTTCATTTTGGACCACATTCAACTGACCAAAGCAGGGGATGTTTTTTTTAACTGGCTGTGATAGCGCTGTGTGACACAGACCACAGGTACACACCTGGGTTTTGTCACAGGGGAAAGACCAGTCACATCTTTCCACATCAGCTGAAGGTCAAGTTCAGGTATAAAAGAAGGAAAGCAGCACTGGTTCCTGCACAGACGTTTTGGACTGCAAATCATGCTCGAGGTTTTTGGTGTTGACAAGTGTTGTGCGCTTGGGTAAGATAAGTCATTTGTTACAGCAGACAAACTTGTGTATATAACACATGTCATTATTGGATACTCGTCTGTCTCGTTTATTATCTCTATACTGGGCGTCTGTCGTGCCCGGGTGTACGTCGATAAATACTATTCACTCAGTCACTCGTTCAGCTTGTACGATCATTTTGTCCATTTCTTCCCGATAAGATGAAATTGCTTAAAATATACATATTTCAGATTTCTGTTAATGTGTAATAAATTGATCATTATTATTTTAATACTAGTAGCTGTGCCGAGATCCCAAGTATCGATTTGTATGATATATTACTGAATGTGTATATTGCAGTCATGAAGAAAGGGTATTGTAGGAGTCGGGTGCTGCTACCCGAGCACTCCTGGCCTCTGGGCATGGTAACCTCAGTATGACAACATTCATGAATTGAGTTTTCACAATATAATAGAGTGACCAAGCATGTTGGTCAGGTTGCAGAGCCAATTAATATCAGAATGATATACATTAAAACTTTAATTAAGCTTATATAATGTTTTTATGCACCAGAGATTTCTGTTTTACTCCCTTAGATCATCTTCTTCCAGTACTCATTTCTGGCGGCTCCTATACCACATCTTATTGTGGAGGAATATACACTGCTGAATCCAGAGAGGTCTTGGGGTTAGTGACTGACTGACTCACGATGTGGACATTGGTTAAGCCAATGATTAATGTAATGTGATTATAGTATGCTATCTATGGCTCTGACGCAGTAGTATTTCTTAGTTGGCTGTAGGAGTTTTAGTTTTATTTGGGCTTATTATGTCATTTATCATGAAGTGCTGAAGAGGACCCAAATGCAAGGCGCTGGAGGTAGGCTTGAAAAACAAAAGGCAAGGGGTTTATTTTGGCTGATGAACTCCAGAAAAAGAACAATCATAAATCCAGCAGCTGGTAGAAATGAGTAGGGATGATAGGCTATAAGTATACAGAGGGGTGACTGGTGAAAAGACACATTGTTGGGGAATGGGAGGCAGTTGAACACGATAAAAACTGAACACAATTAAGGGGGTTAAAGGGATACAGACAGGAAGTAAAACTGAAATAGGAAAGAAAATAAACCTACAAAGGATAAAACAAGACATAACCAAAGGGGACTAATCGTAACCTAAATGCAAAGACCTGACAACAACTACAGGATAGGAAAATAAAAAGAGACTGACATATAAACTCAAGAGAGAGAGGATGATGACAGAAATCTTAGAAGTCTGGAAACACAAAGAACTAAACTAATCCCTATGAAAGCATAAAGGAGACAGAAACCAGCGACCTAAAAAGAAGCAGGGTCAGACTAGATTGTAGAAATAAAAACAGTATCCACACCCTAAATGCAAAAACAGAAAAAAAAATTCACAGAATATTAAGGCAGAAAATTTAAACAAACAAACATAAAAAACTGGTTTAACAATGGACATAGTAAAACTAAGGAAAACCAACAAGGGTCCTCAAAACCAATATAAACTCCTCTACAGTAGAGGGTAAAATGAAATTCAACCCCTGACTTGAAAGTCAATGGGTTACTTCTAACCGAATACTTAGTTATGATTTATTTCTGTGTTTCATAAAGCCACCAGCATGAGGAAAAATCTTACAACCTCATTCGTAACTGCCACATTGAAAGAAAATTTGCTTATTGATTTAAAAGAAAAACAAACAACATGAATCAAACATAAACAAGAGTATAATGCAGTGAAATCCAACTTATTGATTGCTAACAATGTTGTGTTTGTTTTGGATGTTTCTGAAACATTGCAGCCCCCGGACCTTTCCGTGTCATTCTTGGTGAACATGACCTCAACAGCTCAGTGACAGAGAGCAGATCATAGCTGTCAGTGCCATTTATGTCCACCCCCAATGGGATGCTAACAAACTGTCTCAGGGGTGAGAAGTACCTTTATGTCTTGTATTCCTAAGCATTTTTAAAATTGTTTGTTTGTAGCTATTTATTACCTTTTTAAGTAATATTATGTTTGGCAAATGTGTTGATTTGGGGTCTGAATGTTACATTATGGATGTGGTGGGTCAAGGATATGAACATAATTCGCCTCCCAGAACTATTTTGGTTAGAGTTAGACAATTTAGACAATTTTAGAGGCTTTACAAAACAGATTTTGTTAACTCTCTACCTTAGGAATGATATCGCTCTGCTGAAACTGGCCTCAGACGCCACCCTGAACAATTATGTCCAGCTGGGCTCTCTGCCTCCCTCTGGCCAGATTCTGCCCAACAACAACCCCTGCTACATCACAGGATGGGGGCGCACTGCCAGTGAGTTGTCTGTTTGATCTCCTATCAATATCACTGTCATCACTGGGTGTCTTCTGTAAAGGCTAATGTACCTTACCATTTTATTTTGTCCAGCCGGTGGTAGCCTGTCTCCTGTGCTTAAGCAGGCCTACCTTCCTGTGGTGGACTATCAGACCTGCTCCAGCCCTAGCTGGTGGGGCAGCACTGTGAATAACAACATGGTGTGCGGTGGTGATGGAAAAGAGGCTGGATATGTCTTCATGATTCCTTGGATTGGACTATCAGACTGCATCAGCCCTAGTTTCTGTGGGTGTGGTCTTGCTGGCACTTGTGTAAGTAACAGCATGCGATAAGTGCGGTGAGTGGATGGAAAAGAGGGTCTTAGGATTGACTAATAGTGGTTAGTTTCAATTCTCTTAATACATAAGAGCAAGTGTAATATGGAGATAAGATGCTGATATCTCAGAGAGAGAGATATATACAGGTGATGTAGAATCATGTTTACATCACAAAATAATGAGATTATAATCTTTTTTCCCTAGTATTGTGTATCTCTTTTGGTCTGGTCCGCTTCTGTAGACTGCGTTAAGTGTTGGATTAGTATGGGTTAAGCGAATAATACGTATCTGGTCATCGGGGTAATTGCCAGCAATTACGTGTGATTAACTGTTAGTACTGGATGCTATTATCTATCATGAAGTCCTATACTGTCTTCCTACTCGCTGTGGTCTCCGTCTTTTGTTCATTTATAACGTGTGATATATATCGCTACTTGTATAGTGTTGTATAAAATTTGATTTTTAATGTTATCAGATTTGTATATTTATTTGAAGGATATGTACAACTTACTATATGAGATATTAACTTAAGTATGGAAGGTTTGAACATATTTGTTACTTTTGCTTGTGATATCTCTAAGTTAGTGAGGTTAGCAATATCTTGAACCTGAGATTATACGTGAATTTTTCTATGAAGGTAATCTACGTTTTAATGTGCTAGTAAGTGGCATTCAAGACGTGATTAACGCGACGAAGTGAAGACGCGGCATTTTCAGCATTCATGATTTTCTCAATCTTCAATGTACAGACTACACTTGTTGTGTCGAAGATTCTCAATCATAATTTTAATAAGGTGTAATTAACTTGATGGTATGGAGTTATGCGTTTGTGTGGTTAATAATGTTGGGTTTGGAGTGAGGTTGATTCTCTAGTTTATTCATCAGAGAACAGTATGATAATCGCAATGAAAAGTGCGCGGATAAGAGTAGTGGAATGTTATATTATTGATTTAATGGTGCTGTCAGACGATTCAGTTTCTTATTCTGAGCCCTGCTGAACCAAGATGAATTTAAGTTGATGTCATTTGTGGGGAGTGAGATATGATTGATTACACTAATAAATGCAATTATGGTAGTACAGTAAATGATATATGCTTGGTATGCAGAAAGTTGTCTGTGTATACCTTTTTGGGTTCTATCTGTGGGGTTAACTTGATGGAATAGATATAGAGGACACTTTTTTTGGTATCAGCCCTGTGATTGCAAAATGACTAGTTTGAGAGGATCAGTCAAAAAATATTCTGAGCTAGATTACAACGAGGTGTGTGTGATGATTCTTATCCTCGGGTCCACTACAGATCGGGTGTAGGATTGTTAAGAATGTCCTGCTTTTTGACTATGATAAAATAAAATATTATAGAGGATGGTTAAGATTTAGAAGAATGATGCTGAAGATGCACACTTATTATTTATTACAAATTATGTAATTAGTCTAGTAATTTTTAAGCTTTAATGGTGTATAGTGTATGTGAGTGTGTCACAATTTACTCAGTATTTTTATATGCCAGTTGTATTAAGTGATTTTCAACATGAGTGTGATTGTTGTTGGAGCACTGACAGAGTCACTGCATTCTGGAATTGCTGGTAGTCATTCATCAGAGCACTTGGACAAGGCATGAAGATGATCAGTACTGAGCTTGTCTTGTGCTATGTTCAGTCTTTACAAGGTGTTATGTCAGTTAGATTAGGATAAGATAATAATCTATGCATGATGTAGTTGATAATTAAGTCAGTAGTTTTTGGTATTGATTTTTAATATTAACATTGCCCACCGTTACTACTTATCAATGTGCATTAAATATTAGCCACAGTGGTAAAAAAAGCCAGAAAACAAATAAATCATAAGAGAGAGATGAAAGATCATATGGTACGTTGTCCTCTCAACGATTTTAAGTATGCAGAAGATGAGTGCCGGCTATGCAGGGCAGAATTGTGACCCATCCGCTTATAACACAGGAGATGTCCAGTCTCTGGTGGCAACATTGTTATACAAATTGATCTTGGTGTCTATATTATGATATGTTAATTTATTTTATAACTGATGTGCATTTCCTTTAGATCTTTCAGTTCTGGTATGTCTGAACTGTTTGGATCTTTATATCAGAAAGTAGGGTGTGTTATTCGTGCTTAAGAGAGCTGTTGGTGTGTGCGTCGTATATAGTATGAGCATATGTTTGACCAATTGTGCGACTTTTGACAAGTGGTACAGCTTTCGCATCATTCATCTAGCTGCTGGAATCCAGTACGGAGACTGTATGTATAAGGTGATGTTTAAAGCAGGTTCTAGTTTATGCCTCTTACAAAGTATTGTGTTGCAGGAATGAAGGTCTACAGGTGGAGATTAGTAATCTAAGAGCTGTGGATGCATAATCGTGTGGTTTATGTATACTACACAACTCTGTCAGCCGCGTGTTACTTGCTTTGGGATTTCTATATCACACGATTCTGATGCGTATCGATCACTGTGTACGACTGTAATGTGTTTCACCATCTAGGAATTTGAGATAGTCACTTGCTATTCATCTATCCATACATACGTATATACACACATATACACATGTTATTCAATAACCCCATTAACACCTCATAGATACACAACCTACATATATATATATTTATTAGGGGTGCAACGATATTCGTATCGATATTGAACCGTTCGATACAGTGCTTTCGGTTCGGTACGCATATGTATCGAACAATACAATTTAAAAAAAAAATTTTAATTTTTTTTTTTTTTTTTTTTGTGTCCCGTTTGGATCTATAGCCATCAGAATTGTTGTCTTGAGGCCAAGAAAGATGCCAAGAGGATTTATTTTAAGTGGATCATCATATTGGTCCATTTGATTGACCTTTATTATAATTATGAATTTATTTTATTTTCAGTTGCAAACGGGACAGACATGACTGTGGGATAGGACAGGGGGAAAGAATGAAAGAAAGAGGGGGAGAGAAAGAAAGAAAACCAAAGGGGAGAAAAAAAAAAGAATACAAAATTTGTAATTTATTTTATCAACTTTCCTTCTGACGATGCTGTCTGTGTTGAGCGCTCAGTGAATCTGCATTTGACTACTCCGCCTAGGCTCGAGAGTGCAGCCTAGGCGGAGTAGTCGAACGCAGATTCACTGAGCACTCAACACAGCCATGGTCAGAAGGAAGAGCGCAGGGCAAGCTAGCGAGACAGAAGTGGACCTCCCCACCCTCATTCAGATCTGGCGTTTGGAATTATTTTGGTTTTCATGTGACGTATGACCCTGAAGGTAAGCGAGTCATGGACTAAAGTAAAACAGTATGTTGGATGTGCCATGCAATGCTCAATTACATGGGTGGGAGCTAGTGTGTTAGCGCAGTTAGCTCGTTAACGTGTTGGCCGTCTAGCCCCTCTGTATAGGGTAGCTCGTTAACGGAGATTTGCCGTGTTGTGGCGTTAAGGTTATTTCAACGAGATTAACGCTGACAGCACTAGTGGGAACACAACGAATATGACTGCACATTTACACCGACATCATCCTAGTGCAAAGACAAAAACAACAAGCATGCATGCTACAAACTTTAGCCGAGTCATTTAGACAGCTGTTAGCACAGGATTCTCCTTATGGAGACCTGATATGTTTAATATGCTGCTGAGAATATAGCCCAGAAGAAGCGGATAGTATAGCTTTTATTTTGGAAAGAGACATTTCTCTGTAATAAACTCTCTTTTCCAAAGATGAGTGATTCCTCAATCAGATACAGGGCTCGCAATATCGCTAGCCCGGGGCTAGCGATTTTTTTCAGTCGGGCTACCAAAATCTATCTCTTCCCTGCCTGTCGGGCTATTGTAGGAAGGAAAAATATATGTCAATGCTTTTGCATTCTTTCAGAAATGTAGCTGGGTAATTATGTCATTGGGTGAGCCACTGTCAATATGTGACATATTGAAATCGTGTTTGGATTTGCGCTTGTTTTTTTGCTTTCACTTTGCAATCGCGCGAACTGTGTATAGAGAGCGACAGCACTGATCTGTGAGTGATGATAATTTGTGCACCAATTCCTCTGACATCGTCTTATTAATCGTTAGCTTACTATGCAAACATGACAAGTGAAATCTCCCGCAGCTTAAACATGTGAGAGGTTGATCGCGCAGAGAATCGCTGAGCTTATGTGAGTGCGTGTGTAAAAGCAGCAGGATATATATTTGACTACGATGACCTGGATGACTGAGAACCTTCACAGACAGATATATATTTTAGTTCTGCTGAGCCAAATAAGACAGGTCAGGGTGAAGAAGTGACAGCCAAAGAAAAGCTTACCACAAAACGGAGAAGTTATGACAAATCAGACTATAAGGCAAAAAGAAAGTGCAGCTTTATGGTTTCATGGACAAAAGAATTTCTGTGGCTGCAATATGACGAGCTAAAAAAAAACACGCACAAGGGTTAGGGTTAAATTTAAAAACTGTACTTTTGAGTTAAAATATATATTTATAATTTTAATAAATGACAAATTAAAAAGGCATGAACATTTTTTTGTATCGAAAAAATATCGAACCGTGACACCAAAGTATCGAACCGAACCGTGAATTTTGTGTATCGTTGCACCCCTAATATATATATATATATGATATATACTATAATATATATATATATATATATATATATATA